GGGGTCACAATGAGTTAGTAATGGTTCCACAGCAACCGGTTTACTGGATACACTGTGTATGCATGTGAATGGACAAAGTCGTGATTCCTCTTCCTTCCTTCCCTGCTAAGACACAGAGTGTTGAGGGTTACAGGGTGCACATTAGATGCATCTAAGGAAATAAAGGGAAACGATACGCAAAACATTAGTAAATGAATAGGTGTGTAAGACTCCTATGTAGTTGTTAGGTGCCATCAAGTATGCACAATGAAATGAAACACTGGTCAGTCCTGCCCAATCCTCACAATTGTTGTAATGTTTGAGTCCATTGTTGCTACCACTGGGTAATTCCATCTAGCTCTGGGATCTTCCTCTTTTTCATTGACCCTCCACTTTTCCAAGCTTGGTATCCTTCTCCAGGAACTGATCCCTTTTGATAACATAGCCAAAGTATGAGAGACGAAGTTTGCATTCCTTGGTTATAAAGAACATTCTGACTGTCCTTCTTCCAACACAAATGTGTTTGTTCTTCTGGCAGTCTGTGGTACTTTCAATATGGTATTTCAAATGTATTGATTTTTCTACAGTTTTCCTTGTTCACTGTCCAACTTTCACATGAATATGATGTGATTAAAAACATCATGGCTTGTGTCAGCCTCACCTTAGTCCTCAAACTGACATCTTTATTCTTTAACACATTACAGAGGTCTTATGCAGCAGATTTCCCTAATGCAATACGTCATGTGATTTGTTGACTGCTGGCTTCCATGAGTGTTGATTGTGGATCCAAGTAAAATGAAGTCTTTGATAACTTCCGTCTTTTCTCTATTTGCTGATCCGCTTGTGAGGATGTTCAGCTTTCTTTTACATTGAGGTACAATCCATACTGAAGAGTATCTTCATCAGTAAGTACTTTAAGTCCTTTTGGCTTCCAGCAAGCAAGATTGTAACATTTGCACATAGCAAGTTGTTAATGAGTCTACTTGCAATCCTGATGCCACGTTTTTTCTTCATATGATACAGTTTCTCAGAGTAGTTACTCAGCATGCAGACTAAGTAAGTATGGTGAAAGGATACAGCCTTGATACAAAATTTTCCTGACTTTTAGCTATTCAGTATCCCCTTGTTCTGTTCTAATAACTGCCTTTTGATCTATATACAGGTCCCTCATAAGCACAATGAAGTGTTCTGGAATACCCATTCTTTACAATGTTGTCCATCAGTATAAGAAGCCCTATAGGGCAGTTGTATCCTGTCGTATAGTGTAACTGTGAGTCCGAATCAACACAACAATGTGTGTGAGTGAGCTATTGAAATAGAATTGGCCACACTTACTATACAGAACCGACTCGATGACACTCAATTACAACAACAGGCCATCAGAGTGGTTGCACTGTATATAAGAAAATGCTCTTCAGTTACTCATGTGTCCTTGGTTCCTCCCAAGGTGGGACTCATTCAGAGAGTAAGGTGGCACCCGCTTTCTGACTCTCCTCTGAGTCAGTTCCCACTGTCTTTGTTCATGAAGAAGGAAGGGGTATGAAATTTGTGTTTAGGAGCTCAGTATGACCATTTTCTTCATCTTTGCAAGTCTCTCCTTTCTACCATCTGACCTTCTGACATCCAAAAGAAACAAACACCCAAACAAACTCACTGTCATCAAGTTGATCCTGACTATAGGACAGAGTAGAACTGCCCCATAGGGTTTCCAAGTCTGTAAAACTTGACAGAAGCACACTGCCACATCTTTCTCCCATGAAGTGGTTAGGGAGCTCAAACTGCCGACCTTTTGGTTAGCCACTGAAAGTACTTAACCACTGCACCACCTGGGATCCTTTAAAAACACAAAACGACTCTTTATCTTGTTAACAGTATAATAAATGTCACTATACTCAGACCATTTCTTAGGGCACTTTATAGGGTACATTGGAGTCCTGGTATGGTGCTGTGGGCTAATGCGCCAGACTGCAAAATTGTTTGAACTGCAAGGTCGGTGGTTCAAGCTCACTAGCTGCGCCTTGGAAACCCTATACAGGGTCACTGTGGGTTGGAATTGACTCGACAGCACTTAAGAACAACAACATAGGGTACATTATATCTGTGTTTGTACCAAAGGCCTTGACAAAAGCAATTGTGTTCTTGTGAGGTGATTTAATATTTGTTGTTGTTAAATGCCATCATCAGTTCCAACTTATAGCAACACTGTTTAGGGCTTCCAAGGTGTGGCTGGCAGATTTGAACTGCTGGACCTTGTGTTTAGCAGTCCAGAGCTTATCGTACAGCATCACACCTACTATGTGTCAACCCCCATGCTATGCATATTCTTTATACATGATACGTCAGGAAGAGAGTGAACACATCAGATCCTCAGGCCAAATCAAATCTACTTTTATTGAATGCTCAGTACATGGGTGGCTGTGATGTATACAGATTTCCCACGGGCCTACTTTTTTGAGAATAATGCATGAGCTATTGTCAAGATAAGTTACAAACATGTGAAACTTTATATAATAAGGCAAGATTGAAATACTATCTTAATCCAATAATATTAAACAATGGTCCCAGGACTTTTACACCTTGAAGAGTTTGTCTGGCCTCATCTCTTGAAGGACGGTCAGAAAACAAAGGTGCAAAGGGGCCCAACAAACTGCCTGAGGTTTCTCCTGAGTGGAGAGCAGAACTCAGGCCTCAGACCCTGCTAGTTTCTGTTTTATAGTATTGAAATGCCTCCAGGTAATTTGTCAGATGGCCAGCACAGACAGTCATGTTGTAGGGTTGCAAAGGGGTGGCAATTGACAGGCTGGGGCAGGGAGGCCCAGGCAGGGTTGGAAGAGGTGGGAGCTCTCAGAGTAGGGCTGGATTCAGTAGCTTAAACACAGAAGGAAGGATCTTCCGGGAGGATGGAATAGCATAGACAGGCCCAGAAGGATGAAGCCAGGAATGTTGTATTGAGGAATCCTGACATTCTCATCAGTCACCTGCTCTGAACACCAGCTCTGAGAGCTAGGCCTTACGCTGCCCTATCCCTCTTTCCTATCTTGTCTCTGAATTGTGGGCTCAGCCACCTCCTTCCCAGCGTCCCTGCTACTGCCTTCATTCTGACCTCCATCACTGTTCAGCTGTGCTCCCTCATTCAGATCTCTCTTTCCATTCCGCCCTTCACACTCCCAAGAATTCTTTCTCTAAAACAGGGCTCTTATATTATTTGCTGCATGCATGATGCCCAGCTCTTTGGTGAGAAATCTGGTGATGACTGACCTCTTCTGCCACCCCCATCAAGGCAGCTGGCATCGGACTTGGAGTCACACTGAGCTCTGAGCACTACTCCGTTTTCAGTCATGCCTTTGCACAGGCTACTCTGTTCCCTCTGCCTGGAAGGTCATCATCCTCTTTGCCCCCAGCCCTTTATGCCTGACAGCCTGCCTGCCTGCCTGCCTGCCTGCCTGTCTTTGGTTTGACCAAGACTTATTAAAAACAGAATAAAATGAAAATCCGCCATTTTGATCCCTGAAAGTTTATTTCCTCTCTCTGCCCTATACCACTCTGCTCCTCTGTACTTGAATGATCTGGACATGTCTGTTGGTCCTTGAACTCATTTCAACAAGGAATTTTCTTTTATTTGCTTTCACATTGCTAATACTCACTATTCTTACTTGGCATATATAGACACTCTTTAGGTTGTTTGTTGACAGTAAATGAAATATGCGTTATGCACAGTGGGTTTAAACCACAAGGTCGACAGTTCAAGCTCACCAGCCACTCTTCGGAAATCCTATACAGGGTCCCTATGGGTTGGAACTTACTCAATGGCACTTGATAACAACAACAACAACAACAACATTAAGAGATAAGATAGTCTCAGTCTAGATATTTGAGGGCTGGAAAGTTGAGATGCAGTTTATATCCTAAACTTTAGCTCTCCCAAATTGGATTAGACATCGGGAGTTTGTTGAAAACACCCTGTCACATGCTGATAGGAGTGGGTCCAGATATCTTTCTGTTACTGTTACAACTGTTCTTATTGTTTTAAATAGCAAGCTCCCCCCAAGGATTCTGGGAAGGTTGTTTGGCCCCAGTCTGCTGACAGCCTTTGGGACAATGACCTTACTAGTATTGGTATCACTCAGTATGGTACTGGTGTCACCCAGTGGGCAGGGCTGGCCAGTGGGAACCTCAACCTGTGGGCAGAGCAGCCTGGCTCTCTGCTTTATACCTCCCCACGCCCCTGCAACTCCTTTAGTAACCCCACTATTAGGAACCCTATGTCTTAGACCATCCCAAACAAACCAGCTGCATTAGTGCAGTTGACCATCTTCTAGTGCCTTTCCTCCATCTTATCTTAAGCTTTTGATAGAACATTTCAACTGAATGGTTTTAATTCAGGCTCTTTTGGGACTACGTAGATAGTTAGATCTCTGTCCTCAAGTCAACTCTGACTCCTGACGACCTTGGGTCCAACACAAGAGAACAATGCCCAGTAGTTCTGCCTCATCTTCATAATCATCGGCATAGTTCAGTCATTGTGTTGGCTGTTGGCCCCATCTGTCCCTCCAAGGCTCTCTCATGCTCTCTGTGGTCCTCTACCTCACCAAACATGGTGTCCTTCCCCCTTGATTGGTCCCTGCTGATGACATGCCCAAAGCAGATGAGTCGGCTAACCTTCTGTTGTAATCCATAAGGTTTTCTTTGACCAATTTTTGGAAGTAGACAGCCAGGCTTTTCTTTCTATTCTCTCTTAATCTGGAAGTTCCACTGACTGATATGTATCTCTCATGAGTGACTGTTGGCAATTGAAATACCTTTGGCGTAGCTTCCAGCATCACCTAAGATACAAATCTCCACATTATAGCTAAGTAACAGGTGGGTGCTGATAGAGAATAAATAACCTGGATTTAAACTATATCCCATGACAGACATCCTTGTCCCCATGTTTGAAGCTCCTTTGGCTGTTGACTTGAAGGGAGGTTGGGTCCAAACCAGACCTTACTCACAGTGTGTGTCCTCACTTTCTCCCCTACCAGGCTGTTTGCTGTCAAGTGTGGGGGCTGCTTTGAGGCCATCGCACCCAGTGAGTTTGTGATGCGGGCCCAGAAGAGCGTGTACCACCTGAGCTGCTTCTGCTGCTGTGTCTGTGAGCGGCAGCTCCAAAAGGGCGATGAGTTTGTCCTGAAGGAGGGGCAGCTGCTCTGCAAAGGGGACTATGAGAAGGAGAGGGAGCTGCTCAGCTTGGTGAGCCCAGCAGCCTCTGACTCGGGTGAGTGCCTATGGTGGGAGTGGGGGGGGGGTTTGCTATGGAGGTGAGGGTGGGGTCTAGTGTGGGGTGGTAGTCTGCATTGCTTCCTCCCTGGAGGGCCTGCCAGCAGGGCAGCCCACCTCCAAGGCAAGGGAGTTCTGTGTATTTTAGGAGCTTTCTTTATAAACTTGATGTAATCTCTCTTCAGTCTGCTATTGCCTGATGATGCTGAGTAACAAGCCATCCCACAATGCCATGGCATACAATCATAGGTACTTGTTCACACATTCACAAGTGTGTGGCCTCACTGAATGTTTCTATGTTAGGCTGATGGTCTTCGAGTCATCTGGATTGGTGGATCTCAGTTGAACTTAGCTCTAGGGTATAGGCCTGGTACAGATCTGCTCCTTGTAATACATTCTGGGGTGTAGCTTGAAGGAACAACAGCTACAATGCTTGATCTTCTACTAATAATGACAGATGTGTAAGTAGGCATGCTCAGTCACAAAAGCACACTTAAAGTCTCTCTCACTTCATGCCTGCTACTACGCCATTGACCAAAGCAAGTGGAATAGCCAAACCCAAAGTCAAGGGGAGGAGAAATACACTCCATGAACCACAAGACCCTGGCAGGGTGTTGATACAATACTACTAAAGGGCCATGAAGAATTGGAACCAACAATTCAGTCTACCACAGTCACTTTGAGTCCTGGTGTGACACTGTAGGATAAGTACTGGACTGCTAACCATAAGATCGGTGGTTCAAACCCACCAGATGCTTCTTGGAAACCCTATACAGAGTTGCTATGGGTTGGAATTGACTCAACAACACTTAACAATAACACAGCCACTTAACTACTTGAATTGTTTCCTCAGCTGTCAAGTGGGAACACTAGAATCTAGCCAAGGTTTAGCAGATAAGACAGAAAAAGGAACTAGAATGTATTTGTACCCCCTCTTCACCACCCACCCTCCCCTCACTTCTCATTGTCCTTGAGATGTGAGAAGAGAGGAAGACGAAGAGACACAGAGATTTTATAGAACAGAGAAATTCAGAGCTCTGGTAGTGTAGTGGTTATGAATCGGGCTACTAACCTCAGGGTCAGCATTTTGAAACTACCAGCTGTTCTGTGGGAGAAAGATGAAGCTTTCTGTTCCTGTAAAGATTTACAGCCTCAGAAACCCTGTACAGGGTCGCTATGAGTTGGAACTGACTCCACGGCACACAAAAACAACAACACTGTCCAGACTCAGCATGGAATACTGGTGTGGTGCTGCAGGATAGTGCACTGGACCTCAAAGTCAGTTTGAACTGCAAGGTCAGGAGTTCAAATTTACCAGCTGCCTCTAGGAAACACTTTACAGGGTTGCTATGAGTCGGCACTGACTCAACGGCACTAAACAATATCAACAAACTCAGCATGGACTGCCATTCCAGGGTGTTAGTCCACACAGCGCAACATTTGAGTTAGTCTCATCTCCTTTTCCTTGCCCCCAAGAATCTGTGAATTATGATTCAATGAGAACGCTGAAGATTTTGCAGGAGTCTAGGACCTGCTTACAGCCTAAGTAGACTGACAAGACGCCAGTCTCAACCCCTGTGACGCTGATTGGACGGACTTTTCATTTGAGGGAAATCTCTCCTTTCCAGGAGCACGGTTGCCAACAGACTGATGTCTCCTGGGCTCTTTGGCCCCATTCTAAACTGAGCTTCAGTGTCCACTGGATGGGTTAGAAGGCCACCTCATCCTGTCATTTTGTGTCCATCCACTTAGGCCTCCTCCCTAGGAATACAGCAAATTCTTCAAATTCCTAAAGGGCTTAGGTGCTTTGGTGATCAGAATGCCAGCATGACCTTCAGAAAGGCAGGCACACCCAGAGGGACATGCCATTCTTTCTCACAGGGAAATGAGTGCTGTGGTCTAGCCTTTCTTGAAGGAGTCTTGGAGGCACTGTTGGGTAAGATTTGCACTGCTAACCACAAAGCCAGCAGTTCAGAACCACCAGGTGTGCCTCACGGGGCCTGATTGCTAAGTTATCCAGTTGACCCCTGTGCTAAATGTTTACAGATTTTAATCAACTACAAACGCAATATGGGCATTAGTATATTGTTACCATAAAACCCCACCCACCTCCACTGCCAACAAAGATGGTAAGAGAAAGCTGGGTCTAAGTAGCATTAATGACAATGTCTAGAGCAAGAGGTCTGCAACAGGCCCTCTTTTCTGACCACATTTTCAGCAATATGTTGAATTCTGGATATTTATTTTTGTGGCCAGTATGGAATCCTAGTGTTGCACTGTAAGATTAGCACTGAACTACTAACTGCAAGGTCAGCGGTTCAAACCCACCAGCCACTCCTTGGAAACTCTATACAGAGTCGCTATGAGACAGAACAGCATCAACGGCACTAGCAACAACATTGACAAACTGGAGCTTTCCAGTTCATTCATTCTTCTATTAATTCATTCAATAGACATATCCAGAGTGTTGCTTTATTTCAGGCAGGGAGTCATGTTATGAATGATAATAATACTGACTTTGTCAAATGAAGGAATCATAGATGTTTAGGCTGGAAAAGCAAAGACTAAATAAATAAATAATAATTGCCTCCAAATGGTTGGGTCCAACCATTTATGTTTGTTTGTTAATTTCAGAGGGCAGAATTAGAATTCATTCATTCAACCCTCCTGCTCTCATTTGTTGGAGCTAATATTCGGTGAGGGTAATGCTAGAAGATATCTATTGTCCTTTGCAAATCTAAGAATCTCTAATGGTTTTTGCAGCTTTGAATGAAGTGACATTAAAGCTCGACAAGAATCAAATATAGTGAAATGTCTGTACACTCGTTTCTTCCTTTATATAAATGCTGCCTGTATTGCACCATAAAATGTTTTGTGTGCCAAAGCCTGCCTCACTAATCAGAGGACAGGAGTCTAAAGAACAAGGTCCTGGCTTTTCATTTCCTCTCTTCCCTTAGCAAATGCTCAGCATGCTGCTCAGAGAAGAGAAAGTGATGAATAAAATACCTAATGAGCTTAATTAAATCTTCAAAAAAAAAGCAGGCCACCTCATATTGGAGATTTCTAAAAAGCAAACAGTTTTAGGATTGGTTCTAATACAAATACAGTTTCTCCTCTCATTTCTGTCCTGAGCACTTTACATATTGCAGGTTGCTTGATAAATACTTGTTGAGGGAATGATTGAATGGTCTATCATCTTTAATGTTTTTATCAATAACTCGTATGAAGACACAGAAGGCAGATTATTCTGTTTGCAGATGACACAAACCTGGCAGGGAATGCTGGTTTAGCAGCTGATACTCTGAAGGTTCAAAAGATTTTGACAAGCTAACAGAACAACACAAAGTCAGTGAGGTGAAATCTAACCATTGGGTTCCAAAACTCAACTGTAAGAATGTGAAATGAGACCTGCTTTGATGTCATTTTTAGTCTGACCATAGAGTCAGGAGGAGCCAAAAGAGTATTTGTTGTATCAGTAGACACTTGACTCAAGTCATGATATATTCAGTCATCTCATATGAATGTGAAAGCTGGACAGTGAATAAGGGAGACCAAAGAAGAATTGATGCCTTTGAATTAAGGTGTTGGTGAAGAATATTCAACATACCGTAAACTGCCAGAACAATGAACAAATCTATCTTTGGAGATGTACAGCCAAAATGCTCTTAGAAGCCAGATATGATAGCAGAAGGGATCAGTTCCTGGAGAAGGACATCATGCTTGGTAAAGTGGAGGGTCAGTTAAAAAGAGGAAGACCCTCAGTGAGATGGATTGACAGTGGCTGCAATACTTGGCTCCAGCACAGCGAGGATTGTGTGGAATATGGCACCCGGACCATGTGGTGTTTCCTTCTGTTGTACACAGGGTAGCTAGGAGTCAGAATTTACTTGACCACAAAGTTAGTTTGAACTGCAAGGTCGGTGGTTCAGACTCACCAGCCACTCCTTGGAAACCCTATATAGGGTCACTATGAATTGGGACTGATGGAACAACACTTAACAATACCACCACAAATAGCATACTGTCCCTAATATGTAATAATTGTTGTTATTGAAAAAACTCAAAGCTGTACAGTTTTGAGCACTTAAGATGAAGGAAGATATGAGGATGACACCTAACGTTGCAGACCTGTGTTGGTGTTAAGTGCTGCCGAGTCATTTCCGACCCATAGTGACTCTGTACTGGGTTTCTGAGGCTGTAAATCTTTATGGGAGCAGAAAGCCTCATCTTTCTCCCACAGAACAGCTGTTAGTTTCAAACTGCTAACCTTAAGATTCACAACCCGATTCATAACTACTATGTTACATTGTTATTGTTGTTGTTGTTAAGTGCCTTCGAGTCGGTTCCGACCCATAGCGACCCTGTACAGGGTTTCCGAGGGTGTAAATCCTTACGGGAGTAGAAAGCCTCATCTTTCTCCCGCGGAGTGGCTGGTAGTTTCGAACCGCTGACCTTAAGGTTCGCAGCCCGATTCGTAACCACTACGCTACCAGAGCTCCTTATCAGTTCCAACTCATAGCCCTATGTGTAGCACAATGAAACACTGCCAGATCTTCACAGTTATTGCTGTGGTTGAGCCCATTGTTGTAGCCACTGTCCATCATCTTGTTGCAGATCTTCCTTTTTTTACTAACCCTCTACTTTACCAAGCGTCATGTCTTTCTCCAGTGACTTTTCCCTCCTGATGACATGTTCAAAGTAGGTGAAAGTTTCACCATCCTCGCTTCTAAGGAGTAGTCAAGCTGAACTTCTTTCAACATAGAATTCTTGTTCTTCAGGAAGTCCATGGTATATTGAATATTCTTCCCCAACACCATAATTCAAAATCATCAACTCATCTTTGCCTTCCTCATTAATTTTTCTGCATGCATATGAGGTGTTTGAAAAGACCATGACTTGGGTCAGGCACATCATAGTCTTCAACTTGACATCTTTGCTTTTTGGCACTTTATAGAGGTCATTTGTAGCAATATGATTTCCTGACTACTGCTTCCATGG